CCCGGATGTTCATCCAAGAATGATCAGTGGTAGCCCGCCAGCTGGTCCGCTGACGCAATCCAAGGTACCTCAGACAGCTTCTCTGAGTGACTTTGTTGCGGCGCATTTTCGCGATATTCCGCTTGACCGGATTCGTGACGAATCAGGGGATGTGGACTATCGACTGCTGTTAAATCCAGCCCGGAAGGAGTTGCATTCAGATCGGGTATCCGGAACTGGGTAAGCTTGTTTAGATCTAATGGCGTTTACTTTTTCTTGTTTCTATCAGATTAGCATAATAGGTTGACTTCCCCTCCCCTCTCCCCATACTTATCAGATGGTGAAATCTTTTTTTAATTGCCTTTATTCCCAATAAGATCGGAGTCGCCGTTGAAAAGTTAGTGCACGTTCCAGCGAGCTTGATGAGATGTGGGATTACGTTAATTTCAGTCCTTCATTCATTGGAGGATTGATACTTGGTCATTGTTGTAGCTACTAGCTTCCGGCTTCGGTCGAAAAGGGAATGTTAAGATTTTGTGAGGCTATCCACAACGGGAATGCCCATTAGCACGCTTAATCTCACATTTAACCATCATTTAACCCTCTCAGCCCAAATCTGCTTGACTTTCGCCAGACAGCGGTGACGGTTACGTGAGAAAGTCTTTCTTGTTCCATAGCGTGATGTGAAAACCCACTATTCGGTAATGCAAACTGCGCAATTGGCTGTTTCTGGTCGGATATTAACATGTTCTCTCCATCTCACAGGTCAATTGAGACAGACCAGTGTGCAACGCTGGGTTTCGTATGTGAAGGTAGACCTGAACGTTGGTCACTCCTTTGTAGGGTCAAATGCTCTGCGTGCGACTACCTACTCATGAGTAGCATAGATGCAACTGCCTATGTGAAGCTGGAAAAAGGAAAAAATAATGAGTTAAGCAATTTTAAGCAACAAGCAGCGGTTTTAATGGTGTCTAGGGAACAACGAGGTTGAGGGATGTATTATTTTCGTACTTATTTTCACACAAGCCTGGGTTCAGCATGTGTGCCAGTGCAATAATCTTTATAACAAAGGAACAAAGATCCATGATTTGCTCAAGAACACGAGACTGCTAGATTGCCCAGGCAAGAATAAGGGAATTTCTTAGGGAGTTCACAACCGAAACCTTCAGCTAGCCAAATCATACCCTGAGAAGCAGCTGAGTGGTGTGCCAAAACCGCGATCTATTGGGAACCACCGAATCAAACGTCTAAGGTGCTCAACATACTTCGATGCCCAATCGAGACGGTGACCACTGTCACGAACAGGGAGCTCTGAGTGAGTGTGGTTCGTACGCCTCTTCTTGGTTGATTTGGAATCAGGGTTTTTGGTCAACTTCCCTAGGTGAACTACTAGTGGTTCACCAACCCGATGATATCCCCAGATATTGGCTTTTTGTCCTTTCACTTTGGTGAGAACGCGGTGAGTAGGGCTTCCTCAGGAGAAGCTATTTAACACGCTTAGTCATATGGGCACATTTCACGAGGTGCAAGGAAGGGGTAACCAGCCACAAACCCCGACCACACTGAGGCTATCGGAGACAAGGCAGTACTACGTTCAATTTAACTGGTCCTACGTTTACTCTCACCAACACCTTCAGAAATAGCCATCACTCTTTATTTTTTGTCGGCTTCGCATCCCTTCTGAAGTATTCTCATTCGCTCCGGTGACATCCCAGCTGTTGGTTCTTGATTAAATATTTTCATGACGAGATTTTCACTAGTTCGAATCAGCTTCGAACACTACTCACCAGGATTGCAAAGTCGTGAGGATCAACCAATTCTGATATAGTCGTTCATAGTATAGAATGAATAGCTAATATTTCCAGTCAAAAATTAGACACATCGAGCTTCGACAGAACAACACGAGCAGCGAACATGCTCGTTTTCGATACTTTCTTTCTCTGGCTAATGCAGTTATATATATGAAGTGAACAAATGTGCAACAAATAATGTAATGGTAGCACAGTAGTTTAGTCACTGTCACCGGCGTGCTGTGGACCCTGTGGTCTGAGGTCCGGGCCCCGCCAACACCACCGATTTTGGTGGTAGGCAGCTCTATTGTCGTCCGGTTCAGTGCCACTCCAAACCTAGCGGGGCCTTATGTGGTTCGCCATTTAAAGTTGCGAGTTGCGGTTGCGGTTTCCACCACTGAACAGCAGGTCCTCGTGACTATGGGGTTTACCCCGTGTGTAATAAAAAAATCGCTAATTGGACAATCAAACTTCAAACAATCAGAATGTACGAGTTACCGGTTGCTCTGCATTTAGGTCTACGATGGAGATCTCATACAGTTATGCTCTTTACGCTCTTTACGCAGTTCTAGAACAGCGTAGCTCTAACCGGTCGAGCGCTTATTGGACCAATGGAAAAAAGATTTCGCCATTCCTGTTCAATTTTGTCGTAAGCGAAATACCGGAGAATTCACCAAATGGTCTCCAAAATGTGGCTATTGAATGGTCAGTTGGAGAGAATCTATCTGTTTCGATACACACGAGGGACGCGTAAATCACGCTTGACAGTCTTTCAAGTTCTGGAACTCTATTTGGTATGTGCTGTGCATCTTCAAAGTGCTAGATAATGCTGCAATGCTGAGTTTCACCTTGTCACGCTTTGGAACTGAAATGGCCAAGAATTAATTGTAGTCGATTGCTTTTCCTTCGTAGCTAGTTACGGGACCAATGATGTAGCGCAGCAAAGGAGATAGCCAAACGTATTTGCAAAGCTCAAGCACTGTGCACAGGACGGAAGCACTTCTGTTCTTGATATGACATTTGCATAAGGATATCAAATTGCGTATATTGTGCCACCGTTCGGTCACGTCTACGTTGCAGTTGTGAGACCTTGGATTTGCGAATAAAACATATTCATCGGTCGGAACTGTTCGAAAATCGATGTTTGTGGAAATGAGAGACGTCTTACTAGGGGCTGATATATCAAGTAATCGGTGATAATCCTGTTTGGAATAAAATTTCTTATTGTGGCTATGTTCAAAGCGTTTACACCAGAAGCGTACATAAACGCCGTCAACTGGGGGCTCGCGGACAAATTACTGGGTGTAGAAATTAGATGCTTTTGATTTGGTAACAGCAGTGACCAATAAAGTAATTTTAGACTATTATGGAATGAATGGGAGAAAATTTCGGATGATTTTCTATAGTCAGTCCGTGAATACCCTTGCAAAAATACGTAAAGAAGCACTTCAGACTTGCCACACCATGGAGGTATTCGAAAACGTAATAACACCGCCTAGGGCTTTCTTACGACATCTGGACGGAAACACAAATGTGTCTGCAAGATCTACGTTCTAGGAAGAGAGGACATTTGGAACTGACTGCCCGGATCTGTTATATTTCCCAAAAAGGACCGGTAGTTCGTTCTAATCAAGATGTGCGACTTTAGGCCACTCCGTTATTCTGCACGTCCTTCTACTCTTCTGCTCTGCTCTGTTCTCGTGACAGAAAGCTGAAGGTCTTAGTTATAAAAAAATCAATCCGCTGAGTATGAAAATAGTGGGGGTCATTATCAAATGATGGAAGAATTCTAAAAGCACAACCAGATGAGATCGATGCCGTAATCAGTCTATGATTGGGTTCCGAATAATCCAACCCAGTTACCGGTTGGTTAGAAACACTGAAACGAGTTCCCGCATTGACCGTTTACGCATAAAACCAAATAAGCAGCATTCACCATTCGTTCTCTCGTTGTGAAATGCTAACTGGAATGTTAGACTGATCGGGCAAGGCCTATTTGCTGCTCGTTTTGGGACGAGTGCGGAAGTGAGCGTGTATTTTTCTCCCCACACCGTCGGTAACAACGGACTTGACAGGTCCTGTTTTTTCTGCCAGCATCAACTGTCTCGCGTATCATCAGTACTAAACGGTTTTCAGAGAAAAAATGCACGTGTTTGGTGAGCAGAGCGTGTTGCACGGTGCTTTTCCTCTCTCTCTCTCTCTCTCTCTCTCTCTCTCCAGGACAACAGCCAGACAAACGTTGATTGTCAGTTATTTTCGCTTATCACCGCTGCCGTTGTGGCGACTGACCGTAATGTTGCATTTCAATCCACGTGGCAACTACGGTCATCCCATTATTGTAGCTCCAATTGTAGCCCTTTAAGGACCAGAGAATTAGTGATGGTTAGGTGGAGTGAGAGAACAGAGTTGTTGTTCTCGTTAGGGCGAGTATAAGTGTCACATACTCGGGATGCCGCAGTGAAAGTGAATTCCAGTTCAGCTCTTACTTGTTCCTGAATATATATTCGAATGTTTTTGTCCGTATCTGTCCTTTTTAGGGAAGGAAATACATGGGAGGGCGGAACGTTTTCAGACGTGGACGATAATGGAGTAGACCTGTCCGACTAACAGGTGAACGTATTCTGTGGTCAACAAACCTGTTGAATAAGAATTGAGCATAAGGGGAGGATATTCATATGAAAAACAAATGCTCGATTCCATAGTTTAAAGGCTGTAAGAAAGAGGAACCATGGAGTATGTGTGCGTGAGAGAGAGAGAGAGATTGTTTCAAAGTTTTGCTGTTTCTGTTTCAAAAGGACCTGCACCAAATAAAATGTGACATCTCGTGCGCGAGTCTGATCCTTCAACGTCCAAAATATGCGAGAGCACAGCAACGATTTTATCTAAGGGAGATGAAGGTAGGACAATGGTTGCCAGCACCAGAACGATTACACTCGAGTGAAAAAATAACAAGTGTGAATTATCAGCACGAAACTGATTAAACCACCAAAAGGTTTGACTTTCATTTCTGTTGCCACGTTTGTGCAATGCGAACCAGGAAATTGTTTATTGTTTATTGCTTCCCACCATTCTGATCACTGTTTTACATAAGGAAGGGTTCAGAAATAGAAGAACAAAAAGTTTGAGGAATGTGATAGATTAGGGAATTTTTGCCAACTTATGCAACAGTCCAGATAATTATTATTTTTTCCTTGAACGACACCATATAATTTGCTGCATTGCACGATTCTACCTGATATCAGAATGATTTTTAGCCTAATGGATTGTGAAGTCAATGCTGCGCTAGGGGATTAAGCGCCATATCTGAAGAGGTTCAGCTAAATGTACTGCATTTTCCTCCTCGCTACGATCACTATAGAAAACAATAACTAAATCCACTGTGAAATAAACAT